AGCTCGCGCTCACGGCGCCCGCCTCCAGCTCCAGCAGCTCGCGGTGCTCGCAGCTCATCTCCTGCGGGACACAAAAACGAAACACACAGGCCTAGGACTGATCACTGCATTTTACAGACCACCTATTCTGTATCTTTTTCTTTACAATGCAAACTTTGGTAACAAGCAGTTAAATCTTCAGAAGTACCAATCTCTGGAAAAATTTGAATCCTTTTTTTTTTTTTTTCCTGTGCTACTGCTCTTAGTAACAACTCCATCTGTCTCCAGGGCTGCTAAAGACTGAGGTTACCACAGAAGCAAATTAAAAGTAATTAGAAATTAATAGAAGAACCCTGCATATATTTCAACCTTCCCAATCTACCTCCTAGACAACTCTTCCTCGGCAGACACAGTGGTAGTGGGGATAAACACATTCACAGTCTGAATCTCTCCTCCTTTTTTCCATTTTTTGTAGTGTTGTGCCCTATACACAACAGCTGCATTTTACTTAACCTATTGAGTGGTGCATTCCTTGTTTAAGCCAAAGGCATGATGAACCGTGATGTTTCCTGAGCTAAAGGCTTTCTGTCTACATACTTATCTAGCTTTAGCATACCACGGATTCCCATTAGACTCATTTGCTTGTGCTCAACAAGTACTGTCTGATTTGAAGACATGACAATATTTCTAGCAGATTTTTATCCTATTTATCCCAAGTACATGTAAATATATCAGAAAACTAGCAGACAAGTTCATAACCCCCAGGGTTTAGTTTAAGAATCTAAGGGAAAGCTGCAATAGTATTTTAACCAAACAAAAAGAAAAATCCTACAAGCTGCGGGAGTGGTATGATACATTCCTTACAAGAAATATCACTGATTTTTAGGGCAACAGTTGATTTTCTCAAAGCAGAATGTCCAAGAATACTACATGAAAATTCACCTACTGGAAACTGTAACAGAAGGCTATGTTAGTGAATTAAGCTACACTCGGGTGATAATGGCAATCACCCTGAAAAATGCAGAATATGGATCCGACTTAACAGCTATTACATATTCTGTCTAAAGCTAAAGTTGCATGCAATGAGCACACAAGGAGAACATTTTCTGCAGCTGCATGCATTACACACATGCTGTGCATGCTATTCAGGCAATTTTCAACTAGCAATTTCTATCACGGCTGCACATGTGCTCTTGAAACCCCTGTGTTTCAGGGCCAGGCTCCCCTGCTGCCATCTCTTAGAGCTTATGCCAAGTTTGCTGTGCCAGTTCCACAGTCTAGAAACCTCAGAATAGCTATGCTGAGGTCGGACCAAAGGTCTGTCTGGCCCTTCATGAGGCATACCTACGAAAAACCTCTAAGAATTGGGAAATATGTCCAGAGAATACTCCCCTAGAGCCTTCCAATTTACAGACTACTCTACATCAAAAGTAATGTCTTTATTTAGTGACTTTTGGTGACTTAGTAGTCATGATTGTTTCTCTTCTGGAAGCAGAATGTTCCTTCCTCCATCTACAGCCAATGTGTTCTGTCTTTGCGTGCATGACATGTTCAAAGATAAGGAGGAATGGCATCCAAGCCAGCCTGATAAGTAAAATATTTATGTGCAATTTTATGTTCTTCAGAGGCCAGGTATCTCTGTGAAGTCTATTTAAACTTTTCTTATGAGCTTTCCAGGTTCTTATTTTGTACTTCAGACATATTTTCTTCTGTTATGAAAGCCAACTCCAGAGCCTCTGAGTAAAGTTTAAGATTATCTTTGTAGATTGCAACAGCTCTTTTTATCACCTGGTTATTCTCCTGATGAGACTTGAACCTGTAGATTAAAAAGTCATGCAAGCAGCAGGAAATGGCAGTGAAGCAGGAAACCCTTCTGAAAGAAGCCAATACTTACGAAGCTATTGGTATAGAGGAAGCAGAATCACAGAACCACAGAATCGTTAAGGTTGGAAGGGACCTCTAGAGATCATCTAGTCCAACCCCCTGCACACGCAGGGTCACCTAGAGCACGTGGCACAGGACTGCGTCCAAGCGGGTTTGAAGATCTCCAGAGAAGGAGACTCCACAACCTCTCTGGGCAGCCTGTTCCAGGGCTCTGGCACCCTCACTGGCAAGAAATTTTTCCTTAAGTTCCTGTGGAACTTTTGATGTTTCAGTTTCCGGCCATTTCCTCTAGTTCTGTCAGTGGCCACCAGTGAAAAGAGGCTGGCCCCATCCGCCTCACTGCCTCCCTTGAGGTACTTCTAGACACTGCTCAGGTCCCCTCTCAGCCTTCTCTTCTCCAGCTGAACAGGCCCAGCTCCCTCAGCCTCTCCTCACAGGGCAGATGTTCCAGGCCCCTGATCATCCTTGTGGCCCTGCGCTGGCCTCTCTCCAGCAGCTCCACATCCCTCTTGTCCTGTGGTTACAAGAAGCTGCACTTCTTAATCTGCAAGACATCAGGGCAGCCTTTGCGAACAAAAGTGACGGCCTCAGCCCCGCGTTGCCTTTCTGCTGATGGACACGACCTCAATCCCCGCTGGGAGAGGCCTTCCTGTGGCAGCGACGCACCTCGCTCTGGCACCCGCACAGGCAGCGCACGCAGCTGAGGCTCGGAATCCTGCTCCAAGCCAATGAGAGGCTCTTAGTGCGCTTAAGTCCACATTTTGGACAAATTTTAACTTTCCTTTAATTCCTGACTGCTCATTTTAGGTCTATCGATGAAAAAAAAAAAGTAGACTAACATAATAATGTTATTAATATGCTCTAATAGCTAGTTCACCACAAATAACTAACAAACAGAAGTGAGGCATCAAGAGGGAACATTAACAGATAGTTATTGTGGGAACACTGGCTAGAAAAATACAAAGATAGCCAGAAAAATCCCCATAGTATTTGAGCTTTGTTGCAGCTGCAGAGAAGAAAGTAAACAAGATACTACATTTTTTCAGATGTGTAAATAGAAGTGCTAAGAAGCAAATGGAGTCCTGTTTTAAAAACTCGTTCAAACCAGACATTTCTCCTGTATTACGAATGACATCTACTGTCACAGAGCATTGAAACCTCTGTAAGAGAAGGAGGAAATTAGCTTATCTGGCACCCAAAAACAGATTTTTTGAGAGATACAAATAAGACAATATTAAGAGCAAAACAGATGAAAAGAAATATTAAATACAGCGAGCAGGGGTTTAGACAAGTCCTCTCTTCTCTTGGAAAACTGGCGTAAAAGATAAACCTCACAAGCTACTGCAGGCCAGCGCAGTCTCACAGCATTACACACAGAAGCAAGGGAGAGAGGCTGCCGGTTCCTTTCCCGTGGATATGGATGGAGACATCAGCTCCCTCCTTGGTGCCTTCCCTCATGACCGAAAATGCCCAGGTAACTACAGCAGGAGAATAATTTGAATGGAGGGCTGAAAAAACTAAGAGATGCTGAAAACAAACAGCTTGACAGCTACTGACATCCTCAAGACATCAAAGTATTCCTCATTGCAGCACTTCCCAGAAAGAGGAAAGATAAGTGCAGTAACACCCACGTAACCAGTTCGATTGTTCTCTCAGTTTTCATTGAAAATCAAGTCTCTTTTTGTTACTGATGCAATTAAAAACATTGAAAGGCAACTCAAAGGCTGCAGATTAGAAATTAGAGAAACCTTGAAACATCAGGTCAGAGGCACGAATTGCTTTGTTCACTTTAAAAGAGTCACTTGAAGTATCCACCTTGTTAACAATTCTCCTTTCATCTCTGCCTAATCGCAGTAATTGCATTTAACCTTCACCACCTTTATCACACATTTAGGCAAAGACACTATTATGTGCTGCTACTTTCCAGTCATATTTACCTGGATGCATGCAATGAATGGTGGGAAATAGGACACACTCATATCCAGGAAATGATTGAAGTCCTTCAGCAGATTCTGGATGATGATTTTCTTCTCAGAAGGAGTTTTAGATTTTTCGACTTCATGCATAATTCCGGTAAACAAACTGCTGAAAAGCTGCTTGGCAAATGTTGGATCTTTCTAAAAAGACAAACAAAAAAAGGCACTAAATTACTAAATACTCAGGCGTAAATCATATTCACGCAGGGATTTCTTTCAGAATTACTGTACTGCTCAATGTGTAGGAAACCCAGACCTAGCACCGAAGGAGCTAACAGAGATACGTACAGATAGATGGTGCGGTGCCATTTAAACATTTCTTCAACTCAGAAACACACTTGCAAATATACCATAATCCTGGTCCATGGTAGAATAAGAGCTTGATCTAACACTATTCAGAACACTGATGATTGTGCTACTTCCTCCCTTTAAATAGCAATAAGGTAATCAGGAACACTGTGCTTCCCCAAACAGAGTAGAATCTGACAGCTCCAGCTCACAATTTCTACCATATCCAAGTTGGAAAAGGAATTTGGATCATTTTGATTGACTAGTCTGAGTCCAGTCTCAGCCACAGTGACTTCAGCCACACTTTTAAAACTCCACTAGAACCATATAGAAGAATATGACCTTTGAATAAAAAAAAACCAAAAAGCAAAAGGCACAGACCTGGGCAAGGCCCTGCAGAGGGGCAATGAGACTGCTGTATTCGATCTGGATGTCAGGAAGGTCTCCTACTCGGTAACTTCTGTACAAAATAACCTGGGCATCATGCTTCATCTTCAGCTCAGATTTCATCTCCTGAAAGACATTGCTTACATTTAAAAAAAATATATATATTACTTAGAAAGACCTGTATTTAGATAGGACAAAATAAGCAAGAACATTTCTGAAGTGCAAAAAATTCTGCCATACTGATTAAAGTAATACAGTTAGCATGAAGCCATAATATGGCTAAGCCCCAAATTATTCTGGTCAATTGAAAACTCTTAAGCTTCCTTCATGGATTTTCTTCAACCATCAACTTTCAATATTAATGCCTTGTACTTCCTGTTTCCACTCAGTTAGCACCCCAGTTATTTCTAAAGAGTATGTGGTTATGACTGAAAGCTAGTGAACAATACTTATTTTTAATAAGGTTTAATAGGTTACTGCCTGCCAGCTGCCACAGTAGCCAATTACTTGACACCTCAGTCTGCTCCAAATGCACAAAGTAAAATGAGGTTATTAAAGCTAGTATTTTATTTCAGTGGATGAGAAGGGAAAGGAAGAAGGATGAATCTGGTAGAACTGACTACTAGTAAAACTTAAATCAATATGAAATAAAACTGCTAAAAACTGTTGTTAAATAGCTGTCCTTCTATTGTTGAGCTTTTATTGTTGAGTGTATTTAAACTGAACAAGAGTTACTGTTACATTTCAACAAATTCTGTTTCTTCTTCTGCCTTTTTCCTTTTTATAGCACTGTTAAGCTATAAGAAAATCAGCAATAAGTTTACAACCTGAGATTTTTTTTTCTCTTTTGCCATTGGTGCTAAAACCAGAAGACAGTGGGTGAATGTAAACATTTGCGTCCTTTTTTCATTCGACTTCAAATATATGATTTTCCAAAAAAACATCCAGGAGCAAAATCCTGGGAGACACTAGGGCTTTGCTAAAGCTTTTGGTATTTCCAAATACTCGTGTGGCAAGGATCTATTTTTCCTGTTTCTCTATTAGGCATAATATCAACACAAGCTACTGAGTGATATATCTGTTTACATGCAACAAATCTCTTGCCACTCAGGGGCTCGGCAGTACTCGCTGTTTTCTCTAGTCTTTTATTGTGGAACATCATAAAGATTTATTTCTAAAGTCTTTGGACTGTCATACAAAGCAGCTTGACATCTATTAAGGGGCTTCCCTCTTGTGGGACTGAGAGAAAAGGACAGCTTTAGGTTGCAGGTAAACTTAAATAGACAAAAACAGATGTTCTGGGGGTCCTTTTGAATGTAAGTTTTGTTTATATAGATGCCTGCATCTGCAACAAAATTATAGAAGTGACATAGACTGTTACCTCCCTATCCCGGCTTTCTTTGCTCTTGCCTAACCACTATCAGTTTTGGACAATAATGCATGTTATTTTTAGCAACATGAACCTTTGAAAAACTAATACAAAGTTTAAAACCCACTTAGACTAATTGTAAATACATAGCACAACCAAGAAATCCATACAGTATTAGATTTCTGGCCTTGATAAACACTCTGCAAATGATTAATACTGACTTTCCTTCAAGTTAGGAGCATGCAACAGTGTGGGTTACTCTATCGGTTGTTCCCTCACAGTTTTGAGTTTACCTTCACATAACGGATAATATTCTCTTAACACTCATATCTGCAGAAGTAGTCTAGATTCAAGGCTTCTCATTTCTATGGTGACAATTATAAAGAGCTTCTTCTATAAACATCTCCCACCACTACTACATATTCCATCACACAAAATCATACAGTCATATACATTAAGTGCAACACTGGAAGTGTTACCATCTAGGTCTTTTTTCGCTCATGCACATAAATAGCATGATTTCCAAATTTTAAGAGCACCTTTTAAAGCTCTCATATTAACAACCAGTATCTTCCACATACCCTTTCTTCACAAAGTTACTTCTAGAAATGAAGCACAAGACTGTGGATAGCACCAGTACGCAAGGTTTTAACTTGCTTTGATCAACAAACCTTTTCTCGTTTCTGTTCAGCCACACCTTTTCTTGCATAAATCAGACTGAGTTTCTCTTGGTCCTTCAAGAAACGCCTCCGCAGCCTTAGAATTTCTGTCCGTTCATCTATACCTAGGCATAAAAACAATTAAAGTCCTTCAGCTTTAGCCCTGGCAAACACAGAACTGGTCTACAGCCTTTCCTTTCTCAGACAAACCTCTGGGACAAGGCATGCGCACAGTATAACAGAGCACATCATCTCTGTATTTGCTAGCTTACCAACCAGTCTTCTAAGGTTCATATTGAACAACTCAATGCAAGACCTTCCAACACCATGCTGAATTACAACAATACTGTAAGTTATTCTTAGGAAAAAAGATAAGCAATTATACCAAAACTTGAAGCATATTGATGAGGTATGGGGTACACAGTTAGCCCAAGAATGGCACTAAAATCCATGAACAAATTTGCCCCATGTGACAAATTTAAGATTGCCACGACGGGAATGACATTGACACTATATTCCATAAAGCATACAGCTACCTGCAAAAAGGAGGAACTAGATAACCTGAGAGATTGAGAAAAGATAACTACATGTCCTTACACTTTCAAAGTTACTATTACAGAGCCATCCCTGGATTAGGATGGTCGTGGAGAAACGCCGTTTTACAGATTGTTTCTTTCAGTCCATTTCCTGGATAAAAAAAAGTGACAAAAAATGTATCATTGTAACTGATATTTTGCTGGCAGAATGAGCCTGAGCCATTCCAGAACACTTTTTTCAGCTATGAAGTGAGCGGATGAAGCAGTCTCAGATAAGAGCAGACCATTCTATTGCCAGATTTCAATCTGCTGCAGAATGTGTCAGCACAGCTGACATGATTTGGAAAAAAATTTGTTAACAACTTGTTCGAGTTCTTGAAAGAGATAAGCAGTTAAATTTAAAACACAGGGGTCAGAACTGTCTGATATTCACACTCTAGTCATCGTGGGGAGAGGGAGGAATGCAAGCATCTCATGGGCAGGTTTCTACCCAGTTGGTGTTTTAATCTGGCCACAAAGAATCTTGCAGTTCCTAACACAATCCTAGTATTTTGCTACGCTTATTTAAAAAGTATCATTACATACTCCTGGAAGTGAAATCTCTTAAGCGGAATTTAATCGGAGCATCTCAAGGGCAACAGATGACCAGGGAAATAAGCGACAAAAAAGTCTTAACAAAATATAAAAATTATATTGACATTCTAAGATAAAGTCTACAGACCTTTAGTTTTGCTGTCCACCTCATCTCCAGGCAAACCCAACCTTTTTTTCCCAAAATTGGGCCCCACTGGTTTAAAGGCTCCTTGTTTGAATTTTTCACTCCGCTTGCTAACTAAGAGCATGGACGAAGACAGGGATTCAGAGGATGAAGGAACCATGTAGTCTGCTAATGTGTCTATGCTGTTTCCAGTTAGCCAATTAAAAGAACTTCTACCACCTGTAAAAAGAAAAAGAAAAAACTTTAACACATCAGTATATATAGTCCAGGAGAAACTACATACAAAACTTCCAAAAGACATAATTCCGACTGCCTATGAGCTAAACTGTTTTCAAACCTTTAAACAAGAAACAAATTTTGTCACAATTAAGTTGTCAATAAAATGCAAATTGGACCAAAACCAATGTGACTGTAGTTTTTTTTCCCTGTTTACTCAAAATAGCCCTTAAAAACCAACTAACAGATGCACTTACACTTTCAACTTGAGAAATATGTGCAATAGGAATGAAGACAATGGATTTACTCCTAAAGCAAACAAGAACATTTCAGTGGATATTGATCTGGACTTACTGATATTCTGTGTAGGTGTAAACTCATTTTGCTGTTGTGTAGCCCTCACTCGACCACCTACCGACCCAGGTGTCGAGAGGGATCTTTCCTGTGCCAAACTCCTGGGGGTGCTCTGAGAAGCTGGAGTCTCCACAAACATTGGGGTGAGCACCGTGCTGCGGTACCGCCAGCTGGCGTCAACGAGGAAGTCCTGTGAACACACAAAGATTTGGATGGGTGCGACACGAACCGAGGCTTCCTGCCTGCCTTGAGAAAGGAGAGCTGGAATGAAACCACGGGACTGAGAACACCGCCCTGTGTGAAGATCCAGAATATAAAAGAGCACATAAAAGGTCTGCGTAAGTAAGTAAGAAAGCTCACTAATTTGGACTGGAAGGCTGACATGAGTGCTACTAATTTTAGTTCTTCGAATTTTTTTTTTCTGCTTATGATTCCTCTCTCCATTCCCTTTTCTTGCAAGCATTTAAGTATTCTAACATCACCTACACTGCAAAATATCCACCTCGTTAAAAATAAATAAATAATCAAACTTATGATACCATGCATAACCTATGACTGTTGTAGCTGTTAGCTACAGAAGATGCATTTCAAATAATTGTCTCCACTCTGCCATTCTTATTAAAGTCACAGCTACAACAAGGGTTGGAAATTGTCACATGATTGCACAAAGAATAAAATATTACAACTCACCTGAAATTTGCATTCAGAAAGTGGATGCTCAAACATTTTTCTGGAATAATCTGGGCTCTTGCTGGTCATTTCAAGTAGAAAATTTGTGATCAGACTCAAGTACTGAGTTTCTATCTTGGGGGAGTATAATGAACTTAACAACGCCAGCATGCGATCAAGAATATTTGCAGGTAACCTTGCCTCATCACTCCAAAAATTCCTAACAATTAATCTGTAAAGATAAGGAATAAAGTTATTCTTAGTTATTTGCAAACAGAAAATACAATACTGTAGATATGCATGACACTTATCAAAAAGTCCTGTTAAAAATAATAATACAATGCTTTCACAACTGACCTTTCATGCCATAAATCTTCTACTGAATCACATCAAATTTCATACCCATCTCCCTCTCTTTATGACATTTGGCTGATATTAGGGCTACTCTGGAAAATGACTTGTATTGTTATCTTTTTAAGACATGCTATCAGTAGACAAACACATGGATCTCCTTTTTTAACTTCAGCTTCACCAAAAAAAAAAAATCCAACATTCTTGAACACTGATTCTATGCTTTTTGGACTGCTTATATCAAGGACCTTGCTGCTGAGAACTCTAAATCATTAACCTATAATTAGGTCTAACAGACTGAAACAGCTCCTCCCTGGCTTAAAGGTTTGTGCAAAAGCTAGCAATGATTTTAAATATTCAATTATTTTAGTTTAAACTTTGCGTGGTATACTGGAACACAAATATATAAATTAACAACATGCCTTATGGAATGAAAAGGAAATAACATCTCCCTTTTACTACCTTGTATTGAAAATATTATAATTATCTCTAAGGATCAAATCTGTTGTGAACAAAGAACGGTTTAGGGATTTGCTATTTCAGACAAGCACCACAACACTCTTTACTCACTGCAGTTCAGCGTTCTCATCAGTCAGTCCTTGAAGGAGGATTTCTTTTGCCAGCCTGAGGACTTCTTGAGAATCACCATCTGCTTGGCTTTCTGGATCACTGATGTGGGGGAAAAAATGTCTTTTAATAACTTCTCTCTCAAACAATTCATGGCAGAAAGGATAAGGATGGGAGGTAAAATGAAGCAATATGCCCTTCTCATTAAAATCTCAACCTTGCCCTGACAACAGTGCTCATTTTTAACGACATCAGGTGCTCACTGACAGAAACATCTTGTCTCTCCAACATTTAGAAAAATAAAAATCTGAAAGCTGAACAAGCTAAGCTGGTTACTTTTTATAAAGTCCCAGCAGAAGCAATGCTGAGTTGGCAAAGTTAAAACTGAGCAAAAGGTAGAGTGTTACCAAGTGACGCTGTAGTAAAAATTGCTCACGCTTTTTCTTCACAACCATTTTTCATTCAAATAACTGTCAATCTTGGGCAAAGAAATGGAACGCAAATAAGTCACAGGATATAACAGCAACCTCCTTTAAACAATGAAAATATTAACTTCAAATCACCATCACTGAGGTTTAAGTGGCCACCTTATGGGGCACCTTGAAGTGGAAACGAAGGACAGACTTCTCTACTGAACATAGCTCCTAAGGTAACACCTTTCCTCGATACCACCTCACTCCTCTGTGCGAGGATTCCACGCAGAATGTGATGCATTGATCAAGTTAAACAATTTCATTTTGCACTCCATTAATTTAGCTTACACATCTGAAAAGCTAGATTAGTTTTTAGGATTCTGGGCTGTCCACTGGTAAACTGAAGGTTGAAAAGCTTCTGAAAAGGCAGTAAATTTCACTGTAGGAATGACAGTGAAAGCATCTCTGTCCACAAACGTGGTGGAGGACACGGGTCCTTAGAAAAGTCCATAATGTCTCACCTGGTGCCTAGCAGTTTGCTGCAAGTCAGCTGTCTTCAGACCTGTTCCTACACCCTTAGTATATTAAGTATCCTTCTATGGCCAGAGTAACATAACTACAAAATACTTTTGTTTAACAAGTGATTGGCAGACGTGTTCTCAAAGGCAGATGGAGAAGAGCTGATTTAGACACAAAGTATTTCAAATCTTCTGTTCTTGAAGAGTAAAAATATGCTTAAACTATCAGATTGAAGCAATCCATATCACGCCAAAGTACCAAAGCAGTGTATGGTTCTTACCACAACTACAAATTCTGTCACCATCAAAGCAAGCAGAAGCATCAGAAATAAGAGTTCTTATGCCATCAAGGATGTGGTGATGCAACATTCTAGTTCTGGACTAAAGTTCAGATCCAAATCCTGCCCCTTACTGGAATGATACAATTGCAGGCAAAGCCCAGAGCAAAAGAGGCAACCCATAGGTGCTCTTCACTCCAAAAAACTGGAAAATCCCACACTGAAGGACATTAAGTTGAAAGAGATTTTATAAACATTTTACTCTGCCTGTGAGATATCATGGGAAGACAATATCTTCAGTGAATACACACCTGTAGTTATCATAAATCCACATCAGAATGTCATACATGCGCTGTCGACATATTACGGAAGGGTGAGAGATGAACCCTGTTACTCCAGGAAGAAGTTCTTTAAGTTCAAGTGGTTTTAGCTTAGGCAGCATTTTGTACACTATATCCAAGCACACCCTTTGCCTTTCATCATCTCTAAAAAGAGAAAAAAGAACAATTACATTGGTTTCCTCTTCATTGCTATATACAGAAGCAAAAGATCGTTTGAGATACTAATGATACTTCTTTTTGCCTGAAGGGTTTTAGGCAAATATTTTTGAGTCTAACCTATAAGCAAGTCTATAAGCAAAAAAACCCCAAAAAACAAAAAAACCCCACACATTTTTGAAGATGAAATTCACACTCCAAGGAATGGGAGCTGGCATTTCAATCTAAAGTCATTGAGTGGCTTTTTTGTTTATTTTCTAACTGTCTTAGGCTAACTCCCAGATTCACATTTGCCATTAGGAAAGTCATGAACAAAAAAGGGAACATAAATTGTAAATGACCGTGGACTGTGCATTTTTGTGTCTACCACAACACACGAAGGTTAGACTATGTAACCACGTTTGTAAATCACATGACCACTCACCTGTGATTCATAATCTGGATGAAGTCTTTACTCTTTAAATGCAAGTGGAGATCAGGTATTTCCTCTGCCCGGCACATTATTACTTCCAGACAGTATGTTTTCATCACACCGTGAAGTTTGGGTATCAGAAATAATACTGCATTCATAAACCTTAACATGAAGAGAAACCCACAACAAAAAGCAAGTTATTTTCTATTAATCTTCTAGATCTACAGGGAACATACCACACAAGTCATGATGTACCTGTCAGCAAGAGGAGGAAAGCTCTTAACCACTTTACTCAAGCACTGAATAAACTTATCCTGTTGGGTGTTCTGATGATGTTTTAACTGCTTTATGACACAGTCATAAACTGGATCTTCAAGTACCTAGAAGTAAGAAAGAGGGTAGAGCCAAATATAACCATGACATTCATCACAACCTAAGTGATGTATAGTTCTGCTGTTTTATTGCTCCTAGTGCATTTTACTGCTTACATTGACCTGACTCACCTTGACATCTACAGTACTTGTATGGCAGCTATGCATGGCTGAAACATATGATAGCCTGATTTTTAGCAACTGTAATCTTACACTGATTGGGTTGGGACCAATGCCTTAATTCTGAAATAAGTGTTATGTGGTATCTTTACATTAATGGTGCTTTCCATTTAGTATGACAGATTTTTCCATTAAAGAATGTGTGTGTGTGTGTATATATATACATGTATGTTTGAATGTATTTGCATATGTATATATAAAGATATTTTTAGTGAAAAGGTGAAAAAATAACAGCCATAGCCATATTTAGTTTGTATAAAATAAGCTTAAAATAAGATAAAATATTTGCACCATCTTTGCACACTTACTCAAAATTACAGCTTTTCATGAAAAGAACTCAGAAAACTGTGAAAAAAGACTGCAGGAATTCAGTTTATGACATATGCTCCACAAACTGAGAAAGAACAAAGAGAAGGCAATGAAATGGAGAGGGAAGACAAGAATATAAAATACTCTACAAGGGGTCTCAAATTTTCAAATGCTTAAGGTAATAGTTTATTCTTTGACTTAACTGTTGGACACAGACTTTTGAGTTCCAAGTTTTTTCATTTTTGGAGCAGAACTAAGCAGTCATATATAAGATGCATACAGGCACGACACCATGGAGTGGTTAAACATGAAATACAGTGCACTTACATCTTTTCTCTCAGCAATGTAGTGAAGAGCGAGCCCCAACACTTCTGCTGCAGCTGCATAAACTTCTTTATACTTTAGTAAGCCCATGTTACTGGTCAAAGCCTGAAAGTAACTGGGATAAAAAGCAGACCTACTGTAAGCAACTACTCCAGCATCCAACTTCAAACAAAACAAACAAGCAAACCAATAAATAAATACTAGAGTTTACCAGGAGAGCAGTGACTACCCTTAAAAAACTGGATGCAGAGCAATACAGATTTTTACCTGCAATGTCTCAAATCCCTGCTTTGGCAATTCCTGACTCTTAATTCCATGAAACTGCAACCCTCATACACACTGTAAAAATGCCTACAATCCTTCCACATATATTCCAAAATAAATAGGATCTGCAGTTTGCAGCTAACAGAGCATTACACAGCACAGAGACTAGCAAAGATGCCATGAGACAATAGTATCAAGTAAGTGAATAACCCCACTCTCCTGCTTCACACTGATAAATTGTTCCTCTTCTCTTCAATTTACACCACAATTTACCCTCCATTTCTCACCTGACACGATCTATTTCACACTTTGGGTCAAAGGGAGGTAAATCATTGGCAAGAACAATGCCCAGAAGCTGGATTCCCACAGAGTTATCCTTCGTATTGGGATCGCCACCAGAAAACTTTTCAAATATTAAGCTGTTACAAGAACACAGAAGAGTGACATGATAAGTACAAAATATAAAAAACATAGAATTTATGCATCTTTATACACATAGACATATCCCACAAAAATAGTAAAAAGCATCAATTCGTAACAAAGTAAACTAATTGGCACCATAAAGAAGTCTTGGTAAAAGAAAATTCTAATTTTCTAAAACTAAAAAAGTTCTAATTCTAAATTCTAATTCTAAAAATTCTAATTCTAAAATTAAAAAGTTTTTAAACCCACAAAAATGCTCTGGAACAAGTTCATGAAGATAGCAAATTACAAGAGTTTTACTAAGGATGTAATAACAGGTTATATTGTGTGACAAAACCCAATGGTTTAAATAAAAAATAATCTCTTTGTAGAGATTACTCCTACTTCTAGTGTTTTTGTCTTAAACCTTTCTTTCCCTTCCTCCTTGCTATTTTCCAAAATAAAATTTGCATATTCCCATCTTTATAGAGTTCTATTCTGAAGTTTTATGGTCTACGCTAGGGATAAAAAAACATCATACTGCAGCTGAATGTATCTTTTTATCTCCCAAATCCATTGATAACCTTCACTTACGTTTTAAAGTACTCATAAAAGAATGCCATTGCCTAAATGATTACCTGTAAGGTATGGAGAGACAGTTCTTCCAGCACTCTACAACTGTCTTTATGATTTCCAGATTGTGTCTAAACACAGCTCTTTTTTGGTGAAAGGCGTTCTTCATCA